GGCTCAGTTATAATTTGTCTTTTGCCCCAAAAATACATTTTATTATTTTTAGAATATATAAAATTGTTTAAAAATAAATAAATCAATTGTAATCTTCACTTAAAAATATTATGCGGTTGCGAAACAATTCCCAAAGGAAGTCAATTATTTAATGGAATGTTGACATATTCGGTAAATCTGTAGATTTTATGTAATATTTTCCTTCTTAATATTGGAAATATCAAAAATTTACAAACTCCAGCTACTTATTATTTTTCAATCCTTATGTTAACTGCTTTTGAACATTACCTGATTAGAGAAAATTAGTAGGTTTGCTTGCGCATTTAGTTTGTTGGAATATTTTTATTGAATCTGGGTTAATTCAGTTATTTGTTGTTATTGTTGGCATGTTTAAGTTATTGTACATGCATTAGTTGCGCATGTATTTAAATTTTAGAGTAGAGCGTGAGATAATAAAAAAAAATCTGGAGTTAAGAATAATTTAGTTATTCTATTTATTAAATTTTAGCAACTAAGCGCAAAACCTATGATCGAGGATTTTGAAATGAGGACAATTATTTGCATATTATATTAATAATATACATATATTGATTTTCAGCGATTTCGATCACATTAAAACCGAGTTTATTAAAATTTATAAAAACATGGCAATTTAGTGTATAAACCAATCCAAATGTGAAATACAAGTTCTATTCCACTTTAATTGAATCCATTACTTTTGAGTACTTACTGTAGCCGAGTACTAAACCATGTACAGTCATGCATGTATGTGTATGGACACATGATTTGTACCAACTACTATATACTCGAGTATAGTTGTGTCTGCCACTTTGGTTTGGCTTCCGCACATCAGAAGCAGAAGCAGCGGCATCGGCAACGGTAGCTGCGTCAGCATCGGCATCAGTTGAGGCAACGTCCTTGACTGAAGTTTCAGAGTCATGTGGCATGTGCGGAGTTAGCGAGTGTGTTTTCTTCCGCCTCTCAGCCTCAGCCCCAGCCACAGCCTCAGTCTCTGCCTCTTCATTTGTATGTATATTTGTACATCTGTCTGCGCTGAAGTGTTTGAATGTAATGCGTTCGTTCCACGCTTAACATTCGCAAAATCGTCTAAATGTTTATTTAAATGGCTGACGTTGCCATTGCCGTTGCCGCTGCCACCAATTGACGATAGTGTGGCCAAATGGTGTTCAGTTGGGAGCAAGAAATGGGCGCATTGGGCAACCATTTGGTGGCAACTTTCAAATGGCAATAAAAAGAAATTCCATGTGCGTGAGTGTGTGTATGTACGTGTGAGAAAGGCAAATAAATCAAAGTGACAAGCTGATTGCTTATATCATCCTTGTTGATACTTTATTGCCAGCTGTGTATTAATTAAATTTGCAAAACAAAACAAAAAACATTTCAAATGCACACATGATTTTTAAGTGTCGAGGCATAAAGTTAACGCCTTACTTGAAGCAGTCGTAACTTTATTCACACACACACACACACTTACTATATATATGGATTCAGGAACACTCGTTCTTTCGTTTTAATGAGTTTTCAAACGCTTGACACATTCGCAGCTTCATAAAAAAGTTGCAACAGCAGTATGCTAAGTAATGACGCACAGTGCGTATGCGTAATGTTTTGCCGTATGACTGAGTGCCATTTTGCAGCTTGGAAGCTATTAACTTTATGAGAGTGGGGTGCAGGGTGCAGGAGGCACCGGGGCGGGTTTTAATGGTTAGGTGTAACAAGCACGTGTTATGTCAAGTATATAAAGTCGAGGAGTGGCTTGATATTGGTTTGGTGGCAAGTTGAACAACTTGCTGCCAAAGTTGAATGTTCTAATGAGTGAGTTTGCCATTCAAAGTTCTATGCAAGGAATTGAATTTAAAGTTTTTAAAGTAAAATACACGTATGTATTAGAGAAGTGTTGCAATATTATATTATATAGCAGTTTATTGAAATGTTCGTAATGCATTGCACAATTTAATATTTATTTTAAATCATAAAAAATGTGATAGAAACAGAGTACGGTTTTAAATCATAATCACATATCAAACATTAATTAGTACGTCAAAGATCAATTCATTAGGTTCAACTCCTTTGGATCCGCATAAGTTTCGTGCATTTTATAAATTAATGTTTAATACGGCAACTAAGGAATCACAAATAACATGGAATTAGTAAACGAAATAGTAAAGATTTATTTAATTATACCCGCCGCCTGTTGCACTAATCCGGCTTTAAGCTCAGACCTTTTACGTTTGCCATTATTCGGGTAGTTCGATGAGCTTTTTCCAGCCCAATTAAAAACATTTACACGCCGTATTTTAAATGCGTAACTTTAAATTTACGCGCATATTATAAAACACTCTAAAACAAAGAGGGGGCCCACAAGCTTGCCGCCTTTTTCACGCAACACGCGTTGCTCCCTCACTCACACACACAAACACAATAAGAATCAACAACAGCCAATACACGCACACACAATTACAAAATGTAACAACATGAAAACGAAATGGCTCCCAAATGAAATGTTGAAAATTTATGGGTATTTTAAATTAAAACGGAAGCGTGTTTTCAACGCCCGACTACACAGACACGGCTCGCGAGACACAAACACACGCACAACAACGCAAAGAGACAGTCAATATATTTTATAGCATTTGTATGTGCCCACTCAGTCTACAATTCTCTCCGCACATTCTCTCACTCACTCTCTGTCTTACTGTCACTCTGTCGCTGCTGCTTTACAAAGTTAAGACGCTGCCGACGTCGGCATTGCACGTAGCACACGGCGCAGTTGTTGTTGTCAAATCAGTTTCAATATTTGTCAGCAGCACGAACCAGCAGCAGCAGCAGCAGCAACAACAACAACAGCAACACAAACAAATACTTTAGCGCTCGCAATTCGCAACAATTCGCTGGCTCAAGTCATTAAAGCCATAAATAAATTTATGTGACTTTCCGCGTTTACTTTTTATTTTATTTTATTTATTTTTTCATATTTGCTGTTGTTGCTTACGTGCCGCAGCTCATTGTTGTTGCTGTTGTTGCTGCTACTACCTAGAAGACAAAATTAATTTTATATATACAGCTTTGCCAGTGCATTGTTCAGTTTAAAGCCAGCGGGCGAGCTATTTATGTTGAGCTGTCCTAAGGCATAATATAAAGACTTTTTCTTGCCATTTCTGTGCCCGTTGCCATTGCAACGCTTTTCATTAGAAAGGATTTTCACGACAGCGCTTTTCATTTCATTTCAATTTAAATAGCATCCCAGTTGGTAATGAGCTTAGCTTTTTGGTTTCTGTCATTATTCCTTTCCTGTCAATGAGCTTTGTTGCCTTTGTACCAAGTGGCGTATGCGCAATATCGAAGGTTGTTCCTCATTGTACCATGCTACTGGTTAATGGGTCAGAATTACGGCACTTTTGTTCTCGGAGGGGGATGAGTAGAGCTGGGCAGGTTTGCTGATTGTTATCCTAAATTACCAGATAATAGCATTCAATAGAGTTCGGAGAAACTTTAAATGGTTTGTATTGTTTGAAATAGGTTGCTCATGCTTATGATTATAGTTTTGACTTCAATTGAAAAGCACATAGTGAAGAAGTTTAAATTATTGAGCGATTTATGGAGTGTCACATTAGCTTAAGCATAACATTGCAGCTCATAAAAGAAAGTTTTGAATTCTGGTGACCTCAGTACCTTTGCGCCTTGAACGATCCTCGTCAATAGTATGTTGCATAAGAATTTATATATAAGTTGTTTGCAAAATAGTTGAATTTTTGAATGTCAATATAAGTTAAGACATAAAATAGTGCTATAAGTATATGCGGAGCTGCTTAAGTAGAGTCTAATATAGGCTGTGAATATTGTTATCATTAATAAAACGCGTCTTCTTTATCCAATCACACGATTACGACTAAACTGGCGAGCGAATTTCTTAAGTAAGGAAGCAGCAGGTTGCCAAAGGTTGTTTCTATTCCACTACTATTGTTGTTTGTAGAATTGATGAATACCGAATACATGGAAATAGTCATGAAATAAACGGAGGTTTGCTTTGATCTGACAGCCTTAGAAACATATACACAGCAGATAAAACTTGTATAGCCGCAAGCATACCTACTTACTTATGTCTTTATAAATGTATGCCTGTATTTATTTTATAAAGCGCGCTTGAGGCACAATAAACACATACACACACACACACACATGCTAGAAGTACAAATACATGTGCACATAAGCTCTGACACAAACAAGCTGAAGATTAAATGAAAGAATAATACAGCTGAAGAACCCTTTTGTCATACTCACTTAGCGCCATACTTAATTTCGCTTATACGAGTGTGTATGTGTGTGTGTATGTGTGTGAGTCCTAAGTTGTGTAAATTGTGCGAACTTTGTTGCTGTTTTGTCTTGACGCAGATGAATACACACAGACAAGTATACTATACTTGTATAAAGAGATATACAGATATAGAGAGCAGCATCCACCCACAGTCGCTTTTGACATTTAATTTTAAGCGCATGTTTGGGAATTCTTTTGTGCGCAAACAGACAGTAAAAACAAATAAACAAACAAGTAAGTAAACAAACAGAAAGACATTCGAGAGCAGCAACACTCGCATGTAACTATAAAGTTGCACAAGAGACATTTTATGATTTGAGCACTTGAAGGAAGCGGCAACAATAACAACAGAACCAACAGCAGACACTGAGCAGACAACGAAACGGACGTCGACTACTCTGCCGACTTTTTATGATGCTCTTGATTTTCTACACTTGACAAAAAGGCGACGAAAGTGTTGCAGAGGGTGTGATGGTGTGTGTGTGAGTGTGTGAGTGATTGTGTGCATTAATTTTTGAAATTGAGTTTTGTAGCAATTTGGGAAATTGCAAAAAAGAACTCCTTCTCCGCTTGCTCATTTCAATTAAACTTTAAGACTTTCTGTGCTCCTTGTTGCCATATACGTTAATTTCTTATTTTTTTCTTCTCTCTTTGTATCTTGCAGGTTGTAAATTCGCGCCGGGAAACAGATGCGGGCGTCTATTGGTGTGAGGCGAAGAACGAATTGGGCGTGGCACGCAGTCGCAATGCCACATTGCAAGTGGCGGGTAAGTCGTTGTCCTCGATCTACGCCCCTTTTTTGAATAAGCAACCCAACTCATCCCAAGTCCAACCCCATCCCATGTGCGTTTTTAATATTCTAAATTGATGTTGATTTTTGCTGGTGGCTTTTGCTTTCAATGCACGGCCCCACCAGCAGTCGGCGAATTATGCGCACTTTGAATTCTATGCGGCCACATTGCTATGCAGACGAACAGTGTGTGTGTGTGCGGATGTATGTGTGTGTGTGTGTGTGTATGGGTGTGTGCTTGTCTGTATTTGCCCGCCCACTTAACTAACTAACTGTAAGTTTTTTGTGCGCTGCGCTCACAAGTTTTCCACATGAACGCATCCACTTGTCTTGTCAGAGGTTGCGCCTGCCTCTATTAACCCGTTTTATTTTTTTTTCGCCTTTCCAGCGGTTCGGTTGCGGATTGACTTTTTTCACTTTGTTATCAATGTGAGTGTGTAAGTTGCAGGTGATGTGAAGAGCTTATCAGTTATGGAGGACTGTTAAAAGAGCAAGCTTATAATAGCACCGGCATGTAATTCAGGTGAATGGATAACCCAGCGGATTTTTTACATATTATTGATCCGGAAGGCATTCCTGGGTTACACAATCATTTGTGGAAGAATTTCAGAAGGTGATGAAAACAAAGTCACCAAATACCAGGATGGTGTTTTATTTAAAAAGGATCTTTGCTACCAAAATGGCAGCTTAAGCTAGTTAAAAATTAATGGGGAATACAAGAGTTGTTAATAGTATACATCTATAGGACACACTTAAATCTAATTAATATGCAATGAAATATTTACAATATTTTTAGATTGGAACTACATTCGACAATATGTATTATACAAAACGACTCAAGAACAGTTCTCGAATTATATATAAAAGCTATTTAGCTGTAGTTCCCAATAGTCAGTGAGGGATTGATTTAAGTCCAGCTTGTATTATGTTCGAGCTCATTTCAAGATGCTTTTTAAAACATAAATTGGAACAGCACTTAGCTATAAATATTTTAAGGAAAATTCTTTCTACTCATGGAATTTTTGGGCTATGTGTCTAAATAGTATGCAGTAACAGATGAGTTCCTGGGTGCAGTCTATAAAAAACTTAAGCAATAGTTTGTTTAAATACTTGAAACACTTCATTAGAATACCATCGGCTTACCTAGCTTAAGCTTCAATAAAAGTCCTATATCCTATATCAATGCTACGAATTAGTTCTGCGTTCTTACCTGGAATAGTTTATGCAGCCATAACTGTTGATCTTAATTTCATGAAATTAGTTCCCCAGCGTGTCAGTTAATATTTATTTATCAGAGATAATCTCTACATATGCATATGTACTTTTGTAGCGCATTTGTTGGCCCAGTTTGTCATGCTTCTAGTTCGAGTCCAAGCCCCATCAACGTTTTGTCTTTTGTTGGCTAATATTTCTTTTATTTGCTTTGCCTTTCCATTTCTCCTACACTTTTTGCTCTACCCACATGAAAATCGATATTGCTGGCCCGAAAACTCCAACCGTCAGTTCTGCCTGTCCCGTTTTCTTTGGCTCGTATATGCTTTCTATATTTTTTTTGTGCTCCGTTCCTGCCTGTTTGGTTTGCTTTTTGCGGTCTCCTTGGGGAATATTTTTCAATATTTGCATGTAAATCACGAAAAGCACGTCAAATTTGTTTGCTTGGTTAAAACGTCGTTATTGCGGTCGGGCTGGAAACTCTCCATAGATGTGGCAGGAGGAGCCAACATGGGGAGCTCTGTCGTAGCGTGCATGGCTTGGCAGGCAAAGGCAGTCGTGTTGATTGGGTTAGGCAATAAAGTGGAGGACGTTTGAGCCTTGGCGCTTGTTGCCTTGTTGTTCACTTTGTGGCCTGTCAATAATAAACATAAGTTGCATATTTACCCTAGCTGTTGTTGTTGTTGTTGTTGTTGTCGCTCTTGTTGTTTTTACTCGTATAGTTAATGTCCCTGCTGTTCAAATATTGAGATCACAAAACATAATTGCGTTCGAGCCCACAAAAACCACAATTATATGCACTGATCGCTATTTTAGTTGTTAGTTTTAGAATTGCTAGCATTAAAAATCATATTTCTGAAATGGATTTGAATTTCAAATATTTGAAATCACCTATTCATTCAAATTAAACAAAGGAGTGTTCTAACAGCATTAATAGTAGTAGAGAATGTTTAAGAAAAAGTGATAGAAACAAAAATAAATGTTTCAATAATAATATAGAAATTTCTCATTTTGTTCTCTGATTTTTTTTCCACCGATTCTTGCTATAACAGCTATATATGTAGTGCACCAACTTAGATGAAACTTTAGAGTTACATTCTGAAGGACCAAACTTGGTAATGATAGCTTTTGTTAATAGAAATAGTGTTTGCATCGATTGTTCTTTATAAAATAATGCCTACATGGCCAGTTCGATCGACCTATTTGTTAGGATTTATAAGCTCTCGATGTTCTTATGAATGGATAATTACAAAGATTACCTGAAAGATGTAGGTGGCTATATCAGTTTGCTGATATATACATAGGTAGAATACCCGAGCATCTAAGCTTAGGCATATACCCATTGGCTAAAGGACGTACAAATATATAACAATAAACAAGATAGCAGAAACTTGAAAATAAATTAATTCGATCGAAGCACTTTTCATCAACTTAAATTAAAAGAAAACAGCAACTCTATTGTATAATAAAAGGATAATATATATCTCTTTGAAAAATACCCTTGAATTGGCTCAAAAGTTTACAAATAACTTGCACCATTGTGATCATCTTAAATAGCACTGCAAAAATATTTCAGCAAAAATTTATAAATACTTATTACTTAAGGAGCCCCTTTTATAAGCAAGAAAGAAAGATTCCCCTTAATTTTTAGAAAAATATTTCGGAATATGAAGTCAACCAGACATTTATTCCGCCTTAAAATGGAACTCACTTGGAATTTTTGAAATTTTTCTGGTGGCCATATGCAAAATTTATTATTTTAACGTGCATTATTTAATCAAAAGTTTATTTTTTTTTTGCTCCCCTCCTTGATAGTACTTTTCATAAATGCATTTTTTGTTAAAGAAAGTCTTACTGACTAAGTCCGGCCTATCCTAAACTAAATAGTTACAGCTAAGTAACACAACAATAACAAAAAAAGATTGCACTTAAAATAAGTATTTCGTCGTTTCCAGCAATAAACATTTCGAGTGTAATTATAAATGAGGTTCCATTTTTCTCAGTGCAGGCATGCTTAAGCTTGTGTAGCGTGTGCTTGTGTCTGCTTATGTTTGTTGACCCATTTATCGGCCGGCTTGCTCATAAATCTGCCCACCTGACCAACATGGCTTTATACTATACACATATATATATATACATATCAACACTCATTTATTTGCTCATTAAAGTAGCCAACTCGCTCTTATCCACCCAAGAGCGTTTTGCACCTTTTCAACGCGCGCTTTTCCGCTCGACTGGTTCAGGACCTGCCTTCCTGTCTGCACTGGGCTGGGCTGGGCCATGAGGCTTCGTACTGGACTGAACTGGGCCGGCCTATAGAAACAGCAACAAAAACACGGCAAGAACTTTTGCCAATGCCACTGAACCTGACACTGATTATGACTTTGATTAATTTATTGATGGTTGGCGTGTTTCCTGCTGTGTGCCAACGCCAACATTATTTGCTCCTTGCTCCTGGCTGGTGGCTGGTAGCTGCTTGTTTGCCTTCGCTGTGTGTGGGCGCGCTGGAGGCGTGGCGGAGGCGGAAGTTGTAGCTATTTTCAGCGCATTAAAACTTTTTGGCCCGCTCTGCTCTGCCTTGCCCTTTAATGTGGCCACGTTCGTTTTGATTTCTGTTCCCCCTCACTCCCCAGCCGTGTGCAAAATTCACTTTCAACATGCGTTGAAATTTGATTTATGTTGATTTATGAGCTTCGCTTTAAATTTAATAAAAGTCACGGTTTCTTTTTTGCTTTTTTTTTGCATATTTGCATAGCATTTGGATGGTCAGTGCAAGAACTAAACCTTCTAAAGAGGGGAATTCCGCACAAATAAAAGAAAATGCTTATTCACTTTGTAGATTAAAAAGAGAGAAATTTAATTTACGTAAAAGCAGCTTTCACTTTAGTTCGGAACTGCCCTTCCATAGTCTTTTTATACTTGCACTGCACAAAGGTTCCTTTTATTATTTTTCTTTGGTAGATGCTGCTTTTCAAGTGCCTCAAAAGTTGCTTGATTTATTATGGTCGCGATTCGTGAGTGTGTGTCTTACTCACACACACAAATACATATACATACCTACTCATCTAGAAGATTTATAGTTGAGAAAAATTGGAGTAAAAGCAGACACGTCAGTTGCACTTTTTCTACAGGTGCGCAAATTATAGGTTTGCATTTGACCGCAACGACAAAAAAAGGAGGGACAAGAAAAGAAAAGCACGTTGGAAAAATGCGAATGCTGAACAAAATATAAATGTCGACTTACTTACATACTACACAGATATATATATATATATTTTGCTGAGCTCTAAATCCGCGCTTGGCAAAGTGAAATGCTGATAAAGACGTGATTTAATATGCAAAGAGAACTTCTGGGGCAAGAATGCTATAAAATCAACGGAAAAACTAATGCTTTGAAATGGATATAAAGCAGACCATGCGAGAATTTAGTAGTAAGGGCTATTGGGTGGACCTAAAATAGCAAGTTACCTTTGTGGAAAACATAAAAAATAATCTTGTTCTATTTAGCTGGCTCTGTTTTTTAACTATGGATGTAAATAATAGAAATGAGAAATAATAGATCGGCTCTTACTTCATAAAATTCTATTTTGAACATACATATATTTTTTAGTATATAATAGTTTGATTTATATTGAATTCTATAAGGGGACATCGGAAAGACGACTGCCTTGTGACGAAGTTCTGCTTTGAAGGACGACTGCTGTCTTCTTCTGCTGCTTACTCCGTTTAAACGGCTAGTTTTTGAGTAACCGGACTAAATCCAATTCTTTACAACATATATATAGCATACATTTCTTAAGCAGCTAAAAAGTGAACAGCATTTTTTAAACATTTTACATTCTTACCACAATTCACAGGACTTGTTAAATGCTTCTATGGCTCTATAGCTTCCGAGACAGCGTTGAACCACTTCAAAATCGATTTTAAAACAGATTTTAGAATGCGTTTAAGTCCTGATAGCTCTTATATTTAAAAAATATTCAATAGCCCATTAAATAGCTTATAAGTGACAATATATGTGGCCTAGTTATCAACATTTCAAATTTACAATTATAAATCAAATGCTTTCTGAAGTACTTTAAAACCATTTTCATAAATGTTGTCACTTTTTAAAAAACTTGAAATACTGCCTAAGACTCACACACTTCCAGTAGCTAAGATAACTTTCGAAACACACAAATATATTTTAACATACAGTATATTTTAAGATGATATACCAAATATTTGTACTCGGAACCTACATGCTATACTATAAGTGCCTCAAAGTTTAATGAGTTCACACAAAAAGAGTTTTGTGGCTTTAGCTCAAATAGTCTCGGTTCGAGAAATGGAGAAATTAAGGTAATAAAAAACTGGCTTTTTAGTGATTTTAAATTTAATGATAATAAAGGGATCAATAAATAAATCCAGCTGTAATAGCAAATCCGGCTCCTATTGATAAAACATAATACAAATGAGCTACTACGTTAGGTGTATCATGAAGAATAATATCAAGTGATAAATTTTCTAATAGGACTCCACTTAATCGTTCTACAGTGAATAAACATACAAATCATAAAGCTCATAAAATTGCTGATGAGTATGATAGCTGTGTACGTTGTAAAATAGCTAATCAACTAAAAATTTAAATTCCTGTTGGTATAGCAATAATTATAGAAGCACATATAAAATAAGCTCGAACCCGCAAAAGCAAAATGGCTGTAACATACGAAAAAGCCCAGACTTGGCTTCTCATTATAAATGAGAAGGTTAGGAAGATCGCATTTACTTAAAATGTTTTCGAAGCATTATTCAAATTATTTTGTAATCTCATACGAATCAACAACCTTAATTTATGAAATTCGTCTCACTAACTGGAGTACTTTCATGCGATTCAGCCGGCAAGTAAATCAAATTTCGACCTCACCATATGTGGATTCCCAACGCAATTTAAGGCAACAATCAAATGGAATCAAATTAACTAAAAAGCTGCTAGGAAATGGCTCGAATTTTCTTCTTTTTTTTATTAAATAAGCCACACACATAGCCTCAAAAAACGTGCGTATGTATGTGATGGTATAAAAATCACATTTATGCCCATTTACCAACAATTTATCTTTGCTGTCAGACCGCAAAACACCCGCACACCCGCACCCGCACACTCACACACTCGCACACTTCTACGCATACCCATGCACACACGTGGGCACACACTGGAACAGGTTAAGGCAGGACAGGCATTTATCATGCAAAACCGAGATAATTTATAGCCACCACCATCAGCCTGATGGTCGGTCAGAGGCAATTCCTGCACACGCATTTCCCATCCACACACACACACACACACACATACTTACTCGTACTCCTACATGATTCTCCTTCCCCCTTTCTTCTATTAATGTATGTGTGTATTTTTTGTTGTGCAGTGCTGCGCGATGAGTTCCGCCTGGAGCCACAGAACACACGCATTGCTCAGGGGGAGACGGCACTGTTGGAGTGCGCGGCACCACGTGGCATTCCGGAGCCGACGGTGACATGGAAGAAGGGTGGCCAGAAATTGGATTTGGAGGGCTCGAAGCGTATACGCATCGTTGATGGCGGCAATTTGGCCATACAGGATGCACGTCAGAGTGACGAGGGTCAATACCAGTGCATAGCCAAGAATCCAGTTGGTGTGCGTGAGTCCTCGCTAGCCACGCTCAAAGTACACGGTAAGTCTACTCTAGCTCTAGCTCCTAACAGTGCTGCTGCTGTTGCTGTTGCTGCTCACCTCAAATCAATGTGTCATGTTCAATTTGCCGGAATGTGACTAGGGTTTTTGGTGGGCTCGGCAGATAAAAGCCGCTAACCGTTTATTATGGCCTTTGTCGCTTCGAATTTGCAGTCAAGCCCTACATCATACGCGGCCCCCATGATCAAACAGTGCTCGAAGGAGCCTCCGTAACGTTTCCCTGCCGTGTGGGCGGAGATCCTATGCCGGATGTGCTGTGGTTACGCACTGCCTCGGGTGGCAATATGCCGCTAGGTAAGTGGATACAAAATAACTCACAAGCATGTTACACGATTTCAGAGTCAGTCTAAACACGTTTGCATCACAAACATCCTCAAGAGAAAATTGACAAAAAAAAAAGGATGGTGATAGAAGACTTGAATAATAAATATAATGATAGATCACCACTACGTAGGATTAGTTCTTCGAAAGTATTAGAATATAATGGACTTGTATTTCTATTAAATTTGCAAATATCTTATCTGTTCACAAAGGAACTCTAAGAAATACTATTTAAAATAAGTTTCCCAGGGACAGCAAATAATGATTATTTTGTTTTTCTTTTTAACGAAAAAATCATTCACCTATAGTCACTTTGAGAAAGTGAGAAATTTACCAGATTCCTTTTATTTATTTATTATTATTATTATTTTTATTTATTTATTTATCTATTCCTTTTCACCTCAAGTTAGACATTTCGATTTGTACTCATTCTCTCAAAATTTAATGATTAACTTTCAGTTTTACTTTACAACTTAACTAATAATCATTATTTTTGAGTAAAAAATAAAACCCATAAAATAATGACTATTCTTTTAGTTTTATTTTTTCAAAATCAAAAACAAGCTGTAAGTTTGCCTGCACATATTTTTTAAGGTTTTTTTGTAGCCCAAAACGGTTGGGGGTTGGTCCTGGCTATTTAAGGATATATGTATATATAGTTTGTCCTTATTCCCTATGAAAAATACAGGGACAATTACAACTTGAGTTTTATATTTTGATCAAAAAAATTAAATTTAAAATAAAATTGAATCATTATTTTATGAGTTTTATTTATTTGCTTATAAAAATGATTATTTATTAAGCTGTAAAGTTAAACTCAAAATTAATCATTATATTGTGAGCGAATAAATAAAATTACAAAATAACCAGTATTTTTATACCCTGTACCCAAAAGGGTACAAGGGTATATTAGTTTTGTGCGAGTGCACATGGAACACACAGAAGGAGGCTTGGTAGACCCCACAAAGTATATATATTCTTGATCAGCATGACAAGCCGAGTCGATATAGCCATGTCCGTCTGTCCGTCTGTCCGTCTGTCTGTCCGTCTGTCCGTCTGTCCGTCTGTCTGTCTGTATGAACGCAAGGATCTCCGAAAGTATAAGAGCTAGAATAACCAAACTTGGTATACAGATTCTCCTGAGACCGAGAAAGGACGAGTTTGTTCATTTTTTCTGATCCACCCCCCCACTCCCCCCCTATTAACGATTTTCTATAACTTCCGTAATTCTTGGAATTTTGAACTAAAATTTGGTAGTCACATTAGGTTAGTTATTATATAACCGTATACCAAGTCTCATTATGATAGAATGATCGGAAAGAAAGTTATAGCCATATAACCAGGCCCAATGCACACATACATACATATGTACAAGTACACAAACACGCATAAGGCACGATTCTGATGTAAATGTAAATGTATGTATGCATGCATGGAATATTTTATATTTAATTTAGTTAATTAATTAAATTAATTTAGTTAATTAATTAAATTTAATTAATTAATTAATTTAATTACTTTTTTGTGGGGTGGTACAGGGTATTTAAGAGTTGAGCCTGCTCGACTTTAGCATTCCTTTCTTGTTTAATTTATATAATATCACATAATGATTACAGTCCCTATAGTTTTCTAATCTTTATTATAACACAAGACACTCCATTAAGACAATAAATACCAGATAGAAATCATGCGAAAGGAAATTATGCCGCATAAAAACACCGTTGTTGAAATATAAATAAAAATGAAAGTCAAATGGTTAGATAGATAATCCTTTAAAGAAATGCTCCGAAGTATGAAACAAATCCGAGCATTGAAGACTATATGCATTATTTTAGTTTCTCAAAATATCCAACTATATTCTATTCCTTTCCATATAATATTCCTTTCAATATAAAGATCGCGTCAGCGTCCTGGAGGATCGCAGTCTGCGTCTGGAGCGTGTAACCATTGCCGATGAGGGCGAGTACAGTTGCGAAGCGGATAATGTTGTGGGCGCCATTACCGCCATGGGCACTCTCACAGTCTATGGTAAGTGTACGCTCCTCGCGCGCTTAGTTTAGCTACTTAGTTTAGCGCACAGTTAGCTAATTAGTATACTGCCTTATTCCACCACCTCCAAAAACCGCACACTGTAGCGCCCCCGAAATTCGTACAACGACCCACCAGCAAATCCGTTGAGCTCGGCGCCGACACTTCATTCGAGTGCCGCGCCAGTGGCAACCCCAAGCCCACCATTTTCTGGACTATCAAGAACAATAGTACACTGATATTTCCGGGTGCGCCACCGCTGGATCGATTTCACAGTCTAAACACAGAGGAGGGTCATTCTATATTGACGCTGACGCAATTCCAGCGCACCGATAAGGATTTGGTAATAGTGTGCAATGCCATGAACGAGGTGGCCAGCATAACGTCTAGAGTGCAGCTGACTCTGGACTCGCAGGAGGATCGCCCGCCACCGATTATTATAGCAGGACCCGTCAATCAAACACTGCCCATGAAATCACTCGCCACTTTGCAATGCAAGGCTATTGGTTTGCCAAATCCCACGATATCCTGGTATCGCGATGGCATACCCGTGCATCCCAATGGCAAGGTGAATATTACGGCGGCTGGTGATTTGATTATATCGGACCTGGATCGTCAGGATGATCAGGGTCTGTACACTTGTGTGGCCAGCAGTCGCACCGGCAAGTCCACATGGAGTGGTTTCCTACGCATTGAACTGCCCACCAATCCGAATATTAAGTTCTATCGGGCCCCGGAGCAAAATAAATGTCCCACAGCGCCGGGCCAACCGAAGATCCTGAATGCGACAGCATCGGCGCTCACCATTGTCTGGCCTACCAGCGATAAGGCGGGCGCCTCGCCACTTCTCGGCTACAGCGTTGAAATGTATTCCACGAATAGCAGCAAGACTTGGATACCCATTGCATCGCGTCTGAGTGAGCCGATTTTTACGGTCGATAGTCTGACGAATGGCGCCGCCTATATGTTTATTGTACGCGCCGAGAACGCCTTAGGATTCTCGCCACCCTCTCCCATCTCCGAACCCATTACAGCTGGCAAGCTGATCGGCGTTCGTGATGGAAGCGAATCATCGGCCACATCACAGCTTCTGCTCAGCGATGTCGAGACTCTGCTGCAGTCCAATGATATTGTGGAGTTGCTCGAAGCGAATGCCAGCGACTCGACGACTGTGCGTCTGGCCTGGGACATAGATAGTGGGCAGTACATCGAGGGCTTCTACATGTATGCGCGGGAGTTGCACTCGGCGGAATATAAAATGTTGACGGTGCTAAACAAGGGTCAGGGAGTCAGCTCCTGTACTGTGCCCGGTTTGGCGAAGGCCGCTACGTATGAGTTTTTTCTTGTGCCATTTTACAAGAGCATCGTAGGAAAACCTTCGAATTCGCGACATGCGCGCACCTTGGAAGATGGTAAGAAGCATGACATTCTTCGGAGCGTTTAAATTTATGAAATATCCTGTAATTTTTTAAAAGCAGGAAAGCAACGGGAAATAAGTATAGGTAGCTGGATAGTCTTTGGGCAATAACTTTGTCTGTTAAAGTGATTTTCAAAAGAGATCAAGCATGGGGAAACTATTTGGTTGGGTATGTGCTTGATTTTTATTAAAACTTATTAGTTAGGCATTTATTTCTTTGAAGACATTACTTATTCCAATTTATTAGGAAAAAGCACCAATCAGGTATTGGTTTTTTAGAGTCTGATTATCGAGAAAAGGGTGCAAACTAAAATTTATTGGATTCAAATAGTTTGATTATTGAAGGCTATTCTCCAAACATTGCTTATTGTTGATTCTTAGGAAAAAAATCAGGTTGTTGGTTGGTCTATAAGAGTCGGATTATTGAGAAAAGAGTTTGAATTAAAATTAATCGGATTAAAATAGTTAAATTATTGAAGAACAAACTTTGTTTATTGTTAACTTATAGGAACAAAAATCAGGTTGTGGTCGTCAAGTATAAGAGTTGGATTATCAAAGAGTGCGAATAAAAGTTAATCAGATTATAATAGTGTAATTATTGAAGACTATTCTCTAAACATTACTTATTGTTCGGTAAGAAGTATTTTTTATCGAAAAAAGATTGCAATTCAGGCCTTGGACTATCATAGTCTGTTTATTGAATCCAATGATGACGAACATCATGACCGAAAAAGAGTTTTCTTTTCACCGTAAGTTGGGTTTTGGGACTTTGGACAGTGGGTGCATAGGTTTAGGGATATTCCAGGTCACTCCGTCAAAACAAACTTATTATTCTTAATAATAAAAGAACCACTATACCTGTAGCATTTAAAAAAATGCCCAATCTTGTAGTACTTAGTAGGAACTATACCTTAGCGCTCTTGTACAATTTTCAACTCTTGTGTAGTAGTTAATTCCCCAGCTTATTATACCTCCTCGAGTAATTTCTTGCTTCAGTACTTCGCAGCCTCTAATCTCTTGCAAATTGTCTCGTTGACAGTGCCCGAGGGGCCGCCCTATGGAATGGAGGCTATACAGTTCAATCGGACATCGGTATTCCTGAAATGGCTGCCGCCACAGCCAAATCGGACGCGCAACGGTGCGTAGTTGTCGTCCCATCCGTATCCGCCATTTCCCTCCTTACGTTTAATTTCATTTTTCATTCTCCATCTCGTACCCGCGACTGCTTCACAGGCATCCTCACCAGCTACAATGTGCTAGTCAAAGGCCTGGATGTGCACAATACGACGCGCATTTTCAAAAATATGACCATCGATGCGGCCACACCGACGTTGCTTCTGGCGAACCTCACCACGGGCGTCACCTACTATATAGCCGTCGCGGCTGCCACCCGAGTGGGCGTCGGTCCGTTCAGCAAGCCCGCCGTCCTGCGCATCGATGCTCGCACACAGTCACTGGACACCGGCTATACACGGTATGTGGAAGTAGTCAACAGAGCGGAGAGCTCTGGGCTTGGTTTCAGTTGAGGGTTGGGGATTGGGGACTGGGGCTTGGGGGTTGAGGTGGTGGGCTAACCTAACCCCCTGGGCGTTTATTGTGTCATTGTCGTCGACGCGCGCTCATTTGACTGCCCGACTCTGCACACACACACACACACACACACACACACACACAATGGCAGCTCAACACATCAATCCATTAACGCCAAACGAGAATGCCGATGAGGACAACGGCGGCGCAGCCTGACGAGGACGTCGACGACGACGACGACGACTTTTTGTGCCCATTAAACTAAGCCTCGCCTGGGCACGTACTTCCGACTAGGCTGTCCAGTGTTTTGCCCAATGTGTTGCTCATTGTTTCTTTTCTATTCTATTCTATTCCGTTCTATTGTACAGTTATCCCATCAGTCGTGATATTGCCGATGACTTTTTAACGCAGACCTGGTTTATCGTCCTGCTGGGCTCCATCATCGCCATAATTGTGTTTCTATTGGGCGCATTGGTTCTATTCAAACGCTATCAATTTATCAAGCAGACCTCGTTGGGCAGTTTACATGGTGAGTTGTTGCTCTGCTTTTACCATTTTGTTATTTAACTACACATTATATTGTTCCTGTTCCATTATTTGGTCGTTGTGCTGATGATGTCGTTTTGCACATTTACATTTAATGCGACATTATTTGTTCTCTTTATTATTTGCAACGAGGCATTGAATTAAGCTTAGCGTGGGAATCTCAATTCAAGGGGAGAGTTCAACCAAATGATAAATATTCTTAAGCAGGCATTGAAATAGTTGGATCAGAGCCACTAATTAGACTCTAGCTGCTTTTTAATTAGAAGTCTAATGAATAGCGCAGATTAAAATAATGGAACCAATAGTAAGCATTTGAGTTAGTGCAGTGCTTTGTATCCTGAATGCAAAGATGAAGCGAAAGTCCTGCCAATTCTATGCCATGTGATCATATATTGTGCATATCGTGTCTATCGTTCATCACATATAATTCTTGTCAATAATGTCTTCAGCCAAGTTCCATCAATCTTGAGTCTCTTTTTTATGTCTTACCCGACCTTCTGATAAAAGCAACTTCGCTTTATGACCGAAAGCACTATGATTTATGACCGAGCGTTTATGATTGTCTCAATTAGACTGTCGTTTGTAAAAGAAACCGAATTCTAGCCGCAAAAAACAACAAACACGCACTCATAGCATTAGCGAGATAGTGCAGACACGAATGTGCAATCCCGCTGGCAGTGGCAGTGTGCTCCCACAATAGGTTCGAAGGTTAAGTCAACGATAAAAAGATAAACAAGCAGCGATAACTACACGTATAACCAACGCTTAAAGAGGGTCGATACGGTTATGTTTGTATGTAAAAGTGTTTGCATTGTGGTGGCCCTAAAAACGACAAACGCTCACGTGAAAATCACATCAATTGTCTAGTAAAATTGCCAAGAGCGTAAAACTCTAAAAAAAGGAAGGAAAGGAAGAAAACAAAACTGAAGCTCAAGTCCCGGAACTGACAGCGGCAATTGAATATAAAAAGTAATTTCCTATTTTTATTATTTGCACGTTACTTTTTACGGCTGCGTTGTATGCGATGACGCCAATGCTGAATCCGTTATATCGTTGTTGCGTTTTAGTTTCGTATCGCTTGTACACTCTACAATTCAAGTGAAGAGGTGTACACTGTTTTTCGGGAGATTTTGTAACGCGACAGCCCATTGCCATCCATGAGGCGCTAGCTAAGAAAAAGGGGAGAAAGAAAAAAATAGTTATACAAAGTGCAAATGAAAATACTAAATTACTTTTCAAAACTAAAATTATATTCGTATTAAATTGGCTTCCAAAGCCTTAAGAGCTACAAAATTTAAAGGTGAACTCTTTTATTTTTTATCTATGACAGGAAGTCATATTAAAAAGAAAGTTGTCCTTTATTTCTATAAATTCTTCCAAAAACTGGTGTAGTTATTTTTAGTAAATAAAAATACTAGATTACTTTTCAAAACTAAAATTATATCCACTTTAAATTGGCTTCCAAAGCCTTAAGAGCTACCAGGGTGGGACAAAAATTAAAAGGTGCAATGTTTTATCTGAAACAACAGCATTTCATATTTCAAAGAAAGATGGCCTTGATTTCTACAAATTCTTCCAAAAACTCGTTAAATTATTTTTAGTAAATAAAAATACTGAATTACTTTTCAAAACTGAAATTATTTTTGCATTTCATGTGCTTCCAAAGCTTTAAGAGCTAACAGGGGGGAAAATTAAAAGTGAAATGTTTTATTTGAAACAGCTGCATTACTAGGAAGTCATATTTCAAAGAAAGTTGTCCTTGATTTCTACAAATTCTTCCAACAACTCTTTTAGTTTTTCAAAAATATAATCAACATCTTTTAAGATGACTTTATGATTGTGGCAGAGAATCTGCTTCATTGGGAATTAAAAGTTCATGGTGGACATTATATTAACGATGTATTAATGAACATTGGAATAAATCCATATAACCAGGTACCTCTAGTTCTTCTTCATATTTTCTTAAATCTGTTTTTGGCTATCAATAACATATCCATTAGTTTTGGAGCTAAATGAAAATCTGAAATTTTGTATTATCTTTCTATTTAGATAACCACTTAGAGTTATGACTAATAGAAAACAAGAAACAGTTCTATGGTGTAAAAATTTTTAAAAAGAAGGCTCATCCTAATTGAAATTATCAAATGAGCAGCAAATACAATTACAGCTGAGCAATGTAGGGTATATAATTGAAATCGGTGCAGCCGAAACCAACCTTTTATGTACGCATTTTTTATTTTTAACTACAACAAATTATAATTTGCGCACAGACCAAAGCTAACGAGTAATCATTGGCAGTCGAAGCCATTTATGTATTTTCGACATTTCAACTCTGCGTTTTCTTCAATTCTGTTCTTTTATTTCAGGTAATCACGCAATCGGCACCGTGCGAAAGTTTCCAACATTGCCGTTGAACGGCGGTAGCGGTGGCAACTCTGGCAGCGGCATGCCTGGTATTGGCAGTGGTGGCGGAGGAGGAGGTGGGAACGGAGTTTGGATCGATCCAACTGGTGGCGTTTGGCGACAGGCCGCGTCATGTACGACAAAGGAGCAACTTCCGGGCTACGCACAAGCGACCGCCCAGCAACAACAACAAAGCCAACAACAGCTAGGACAATCAAACTCACAACAACCGTTGCCTGATTATGAGAGGTAAGCGTGCCAGCCTGGGTGCCTGCCTGCCTGCCTGCATTGGCATGATTTGGGTTTTTATGCTTCATTTGCCCCATGCCGAAACAAAAAAGAGCAGTGGGGGAGCGAAGGGTTGTTGTTTATCTGTCGCGGGGGTGCGCTTTGGCATATGTAGGTGGATGAGTGCAAACGGAAGTTGCTTTAATATCCTGTCTACACTTCGTTGCCTGTTTAATTACGAAAAATTGCGACCAAAAAGCTCGCACACGCTTAAATGTTGTTTTTCCTACATGTTTAAGGGGGGGAATTATTTTTCGAGGGGTTGTGCACCACTACTATTTACGATTCAGTCATAAAAACGACCGCGGCTCTGCTGATGCAGGCACTTCAAACTCCCCAAGGTTTCTTGCTGCTTGCATATATCCACAGCTACAAAAACAATAACAACAACAGCAGCAACGGCTGCGGCAACAAGAAACGCCATTAAATTGTTACACTTGAACGGATTTTACTTTTTGGGCAACTCTTGGGGGCTTGGCCGAAAAGGCTGACAGGCCGGCTGCTGGCGTTTGCGAATTCGCTTATTTAATTTTCATATGAATTTCATATTTCTGTGCTGGCTGTGTATTTAAATGTTTGTCTGTCTGTTTGTTGTTGTATTGCTCTGCGTAATGAATTTTTCTTGGCGGTTTGCAACGCACGCATTTCCATTTCCATTCCCATTTCGGATGCAACCTCAGGCAGACAGCGGCACGGACAGAGGCACGACAGGCGCACAGTGGGTTAATATTATGCGCAAAAGTTTGCCAATTTTCGTTGGGTGAAAAGTTTAAATTAACTTGTGAGCATTTTGGCTGTGCGGGAAATCTTTGAAATATGGGAACGCAAGTTGAACCAAATTCAATTGAAAGTTTTATTGCGCATTTCCTGTGACGACTATAACTCGACTTCTACTTGATAATGGACAATTTTATGATGACTTATTATGATTTGATGTTGAAAAGAGAGAGCAAGTTCTTATTTACAAGTATTTAGTATTAAATGAAATCAGAACTGTCTTATAAGCGCAAACTTTCTTAGATCTATTCTAAACACATTAAATATAATTGAAAGATAAATGATTCCATCATTTAAATCAATTAAAAAATATGTCAAGCCACTGTAGCTTGAATATTTTTCGAAATCCAAATTATGAACGAATTGGCGGATAAGACTAATCCGACTCGTCTTATCGAACAGTTCACGAAGTCAAAAATATGCCTACATTCTGCCATATCTGATCCGTAAGTTATGTGTACATTTTTATTAATTGATTAATTGATGGCTTTAAAATGCTTTACAACATAAGTGTGCAGGCTAGCAGTCAAACGAGCAGATTTGGAATCGAAAAAGTAATTACCTGAGTCAGTTTTCTCACTAAAATATAGGCGAACAAACAAGAAATTGTTTAAGATCTGCTACTTCCACTGACACTCGTGTAATATTTTTTAATATTTCCAATATTTTCCAGATCGATTTGCTATAATCCATTTGTTGTGCTGCCCTCTTTAAATAAATGTTTCTGGCTTTCTTGTCATGCTCTGCCAGCATTTATCAATATCTCATTCAATAAAGATTTCCTTTATCATCCACTCCTTTGTTCCTTATTTCAAATGTATGCCTTGCCTGTTCTTTGTACTTTCTTCGTTCTCCCTTTTGCCGTTTTTCTGCCATCAAGTTTTCTTTAAAGCTTAATGTAGCGTTGCGCCAACAATAACACAAACAAGACACAATAAAAGCGCAACTGCTGGCGACATATTGTTTCCAGAATGTTTGGATACCGCCCATACCCCTCAGTTGTCTGCCCATTTCCCTGCCTGTTGCCTGCCTCCTTGCCCGTTTTACTACCTGCCCCCGCCCCGCCCCATCCCATCCCACTTTTAAGTATTGCTCTCCAACTTGCGCGTATTTATTTGCGGCATTTTACGCATTTATTTGTTTTGACTTTTTCACAATATCTGGCAACGAACCACCCCACCATATCCACATCCACATCTACATCGAAATCCCATTCGCTTCCACTCTGTTTCAAGTTGAACATTTCCTGACCCCCAACCAACCCCTCCACATTGCGTTATGTGCCACATTCTAATGCTGTTGCCACATCCGTGACGCGATTTTCATTATTTCCGTTTCAATTTTTCTGTTGTACTTGTATACTTTACCAACATCCAGGTTGCTTACTGTACTCATTGTTGTTGTCGTTGTTTTTGTTGTTGTTGTTGTGCATTTTAACAACGTTGTAAAGTCGTAAAAGAAGTAGGCAAACATTTTTTTGTGTTTACATAAACACCGCGTCTACTTATAAGAAACCACCTCATCAACCATCCCCCAATCGCTAACGTACACGCCGTACGTCCAATTTCCAATTAAAATATTTAATTTCTTTTCGGGTTTGTCTGATTTTCAAATTTCCTTATGCTCGTACCTACCATCTTTGAGTGTCTATATACCATTTATTCAATACAACCCCTCGGCCTACCCCTCTCACTTCCGCCTCCCTTTCTCTCTCTTTGTAATAAACGTAATTTTCACCGCTAAATTAACAATTAAAAATTGATAGCCCTGGAGGCCTGCGCTTAGACGCTCGCCAGTTTTTAATGCTCCGCAGCTGTTTTTGTAGTACTCGCCATATGCAAATTCCCCAGATGGTTGCTGCTTGCGTTGGCACTTAATTGCTGGAAAATTTCAAATTCCGTTGCATAATTTTGGGCGTCTTTAAAGTTGAGAAGCTCAATCAGACAAAATGAATTCATTATTTTGCACTAAATTGCTATGATATTTGTATTTCTTTGGATTCGAAATTCAAAATCCGCAAGAGTTTGTTTTTAAGCACAATTATGAAGAGCTTATCATGAAAGTGGTTTGTAAATTAGAAGCAAATTCGAAATCAAATATTCAAAAAAATAATTAATAAAGAATTAGAATAGTTTCATTTATGCTCCAATAGAACGAACAACGTCATTACAGACGCAACTATTTGTTAGACGAACTTGTCATTCTTTCAAAATGAATCGACATAGAAAACGCAGGTTTTTAATATGAAAGTGTGAAGTTTGATATGCCAATGAAATGTCGATCTTCTATTCAAATATTAATCAATAGCTAGAATATTATAACTAAATTATTATATTCTTTACTTTGCATGGAATAAAGACTACAAATATTTCCCTACAAATATCACATGCACTATTCCAAAAAGTAAACTTTTTATAACAATTTAATTCAGAGCGCCAACTTCAATCTGGTAATTTGCTAAAATTCATTGGCAAAGTGCAATAGATAAGCATTATCTCATTAGCTAATTAGTGCACAAAATTTTGCGCAATAAAAAAGTTTTCTCGAAATTTGCAACTCGTCGTCGTTGTTGTTCGGAAAATAACGCCCTAAATTCAAGACCACACCCTCCCACGCAAATATTAATGCGAAAAAAGTTTGCCAAAATGATTACTGTTGTTGTTGTTGTTGCTGTAGTTGCCAAGCTAGAGTTAATTTTTTGCAACTTGAGGCAATGAATGGACAAACACCCAAGGGGATACAAGGGCAGTTATCCATCCATCCAGCTGCGATCCCACCATTCATTCATTCATGCATTCATTCATTCATTCATCCATCCATCCATGCCGCCCACTAATTAGAAAGTTTAAATGCATGACGCTGCGCGCTAATGGGTATCGCATAGTTCTATAGCTCTATTCCCTATGCCAAGCTCGCATTACACGCAACACACAGCAACAACAACAACAGCAACTACGTCAACAGTAAACACAAAAACGAGAACGAAAAAGTGCAAATGCACAAAATTTTTAATGAGCATTGTGATGAAGAGCCAATAGTGGGGGAGGGGTACACTTGAAGAAACCAGAGCATATTAATATCAATCTAAATTTATAAATGCTGCCAGTAACATTTCTTAGTCATCATAATTAATCAAAATGGGGTTTCCAGGATTTCTAAAATGGCTTTGAAATATTTATTTAAATTGTGCCAATTGATAAGAAGGAAAGAGCTTGTTAGGTTCAATAAAGAAATAATAAATTATAATTAAATATATTTGTAAAGCGGAGACACGACTGGAAGGCTCTCTTGTTCATAGCAGAATGTGATTAGAAAGCAAAGCTTTGAAAGATGAAAGAAAGAGTTAAGTTCAAATGGGAAGACACTGGAACATTGTTTATTATACAACATATACCTATAGAGATAAATAATGTAAATAATATAAGTAATATAAATAATATATAGTAATATAAATAATATAAATAATATAAATAATATAAATGATATAAATAATATAAATAATATAAATAATACAATTAATATAAATAATATAAAACTACTTTGGCATTTAATCATACAGGTCCATAGAAACCCCAGCATTTAAAAAGTGGCGAACGAAACCCTCCAGCACAAAACATATTCCACGTTTAACATAGTGACGGCAGATATTGCATAGAAAGTCGAGAGCTGTCTAGTCGGGGTTCATAGTTTTAAGATTTGGAATAAGGACTTTCAAAATATAATTCAATCATCTTAACATCTTATAAATCACAACTTGTTCTATAACGATGGCAAATAGCAAAATATTGTAGTAGATGGTTGATAAAGTTCCTATACGGCTGATTTTAAGCCATTTACTTCAAGTAAAGTCATTCATACCACAAGAAAGGACAAAATTTGTATATGCTCGATGAGCTGTCTAATATTTGTAAAACTTCAAACCTAAAGCAAAGTGAAAATAATATTAGTCTCTAAAAAATGCTTGTGTATTATATTTCCATGCTTTTAAAACATTCCAGCTGTTCATTGAATTGTGCTTCAAAAAATCGAATCTAAAACCATTAACTAATTTATTTAGAAGAGATTTCGGGTGGCCAGGTACAAAGAACTTTTTCCCAGTGTTATTTTGGCTGGGCAGGCAGTTGAGGTAGCCAGCGAGTAATTTCCGGCGCTGCCATGGCGACAATGCGGCGTCCATTAATGGGGGCTAACAAAAGCAATTTCCTACAATAACAACAGACGACGGCGAGCGACAAGAAGGAGTGCTGGCTGATTTATGAAATGTGGCCGCCACTTGCCATACGTTTTTCCCTATAACCCACAATCTCTCTGCCTCCTCCCTGCCCCCCTCGGCACCCATCCATCCAGAATTTTGCTCACCGTCTGTCTCACTCTGCTCTATCTTTGCAGACTTTCACCGCTGAACATGCCCGATTATGCGGAAGTTGCATGTTCAACATTCAAAAGCCCCAACTCGATGGCTGGTCATGGCTATGCGTTGCTAGCCGGAAATGCACAGCAAACTTCCGGCAATGGCGGCGGCGGCGGCATCAGCGGCATCAACGGCATCAACGGCGGCGGCGCTGCATCATTATACGATAGCTGTGGCGCATATGCAACAACAAATGTGGTGGCCAATGTTAAACTGTATCAAAATCGTTATGCGACAAAGCCAGCGACAACCAACAGCAATAACAACAACAATGGCTCAGGAACAGCAACAGCAGCAGCAGCAGCAACAACGAATGATTATCATGCCACAGGCATGTACTCAGCACCCCCCAGTGCACATTATGGCTGCCTGGAGCCCAATCTGATGACCACATCCACAGCCTCAACAGCTATACTGAGTGCCTCGCCAGCGAAACTGAAAAAAAATTGTGGCACAGCAGTCGGCAAAATTAACATTACCGAGAACAAAATGGAACTCATAAATAATCTAACAACAGGAACAGCGGCAACAACAACAACTGGCGATGGCAAAGCAGAGCGTTTGAATCCTTTCAATAGCAGCAACAGCCAACAACAACAACAACAGCAACGTCAGCTGCAGCAACAACAACAGTTGCTCTTGGCGAGCAATGCTTTAAAGCAAGGTCTGGGCGCCTATGCCAACACCACGTTGGCCGCTCAAATGGCCAACGGGGGCGGAGTCGGGACTCTGCGGCGCCAGCGCCAGCCCAAGCTTTTCAAGAGCGAAAACAACATCAACTTTGGCGGCAATCTGTCCATGGGCAAGTCGTCACGCCACAACAATGGCAACCATAATACTGCCAATAATGTTAGTGGAGGTAACAATGCCAATGGATCCCACATGGACTTCCTTACCGGTGGTCCGCCGGTGGACAATGTGGGCGGCAGTGTGGATGCTGATTTCTCGGCTCTCTGCAACTCCACCAACCAGCTGCTCAACGATTGGGCCTCCAGCGCCTCCATTGCTGGCGATTATCATTTTGGCAGCAAGCAGCCAAGTAAACAGCATTTATATGTGAAGTCCAAGGATGGCACTTGGTCCGCCGTTAGCTCGGATGCGTATCAGACATTCAAGCAGCAGCAGCAGCAGCAGCAACAACAACAACAACAGCATCAACAGTTCCACTCTGGCACAGGTGATAAGTCCCTAACTAATCCAGCCGCCTCCCATAGTGTGAATAGTCTCGGCAGTAGCTCGGCCATCGAGAACAAGTTCTTGAGTAGTTTCGGTTCCAGCGCCAATGTGTAGAGTGCGGGTCTAGCCCACATCCAGATACTCTCGTACATAAATGTAACGATAATGTGTTGCTCACTAGTCTAAGTTGATTCTGTGCAAAAGTGAAAACTGATGTTGTGACATGAAAGTAGTGTGGAAAGTTTGACACTTAGCTTGCAATTGGAAGTTCGGTTGGAGTAGTTCACATATAGTATAGGGTACTGGCTTTATATACATACAATGAACATTTCGTTACTTGCAGACACACATAAATAGGGTAAGTGACAGATTTGTGTTTTAAAGACAGTTTGAATTGAAAGCGCATGAAAATAATCGGAATGTATCCGAAAAAGGTGTTATTTGAAAGAAAAAAAAACAATATTAATCTCTCCATAGCTCCGGTTTAAATTACATTCAGTTGAGCTACAGTTTCCGCTCATTGTAGTTTGATTTCTTTGTCAATTTCTTCATCAATTTTCTAAACGTTTTGAAATGAAAGCGCACGAAAATAATCAAAATGTTTCCAAAAAAGGGGCTATTAAAAAAAACGTTTCAATTACTTTCAGTTGAGGTACAGTTACCGTTCATTTTTTCGATTTCTTTGTCAATTTTTTAATTAATTGTTACAACGTTTATGTTTCAAAGACTGTTTGAAATGAACGCGCATGAAAATGAAATAATCAAAATGTTTCCAAAAAAAGGGGATATTTAAAAAAACATGAACTATTTACCAAACAATATTAATCTTTCAATAATTGCCGTTTCAATTACTTTCAGTTTCAGATTTCAAAGTTAATTTCTTTATCCATTTTTGAAACGTTAATGGGCTATTATGAAAGAAAGAGCGCAATGAGTATCTTGTAGATTTAGCTCGGCAATTGAGTAGCGTTGGCCATCATGAGCTGGGTTAAGCAATTTACACATTAGCTCCGTTCAATAATCAGTGTGTTTAGTTCTTGAATATGGAACCACACACATTTGGTTTGAATTGGGAATTGATAATGGAAGCTCTTTATGGTCATAAATTGACAAAAAATGGAAACAAACAGTTGGTTTAACTTAATTATTTGAATTGGTATTCATATCAGACAGCTTTCATATTATTTTGATATATTGTAATCATTTCATTGATTATTATCTCAAATTTTTACCGAATGGCTTAACTATATTTAAAATATTTGCATACAGTAAATCACTTGAGTTGGAAACATAGATCTGCCTAAGATATAGGTAGATGTCATATGTCGATAGCCTAGAAAGTGATAGATAGTTCCAGTAAGAATGATTTGTTGCCTCTCTACCTTTCAAAAAATGGCTCAATTATTCTGCTTAGTTCCCCTGCAATTGTTACTCACATCCAACCTAGACTTCCACAGCACTGCAAGTCTTCACCAAACCAAATTCCTAAAAACAACAACGAAATGTATGTAAAATAAAAAAATAAAAAAAAAATAAACATATTGGCTTGTAAATAGTATATTGAGTATAATGCATAACCTCTGAAGCATATGAAATATTGCATTGGTAAAGCAAAGCGTAATGAAATATATACACGAAACCCAACTGATTTAAAAAATAGTGGTAGTTAAAGTAAGTAAAAACCATTATTTGTAGCAAACAACGCAAATCCTAGCGAGCATTCCAAACATAAGCAAAAACATTTGAATGGCGCCAAAGAACCCTAACGACTACCAATCCCCAACCTATTTAATGTAGACATTAAAGCCTATAGTTGCACTTCAAACAAAACAAAAAAAAAGATAAATAGTATTAAAATTTAATTAGCAAACAGACAGTAAAATGTGTAATTCGAAACTACCCACAACACACATGATGAGAATTAATAATAAAGGAGAACGAAATATTAAAAACGCTAATAATAAGGCTGTTAACTGTAAAATACCATAAATACACATAAATGATTATTTATTAAAGCTAAAATTACGCATCGAACTTGTGTAAATGCAGCGTTTAAATGTAATTAACTGACGACTAGTTTTAGTTTGAATAGCTAAAAAAAATACACACCACTACACAGACAACAGCTAAATGTGCATAAACATTGAGTTAAATAGCGCAAAAAACGAATGAAAAATTAAATAAAAATGATATGTAAGTAATCAATTAATTAATTATGTATGCAAGGGCAATGAATAAAAAGTGATTGCCGCTAAAAATAAAAACTAAATACTAATGGAAGCGAAAGTCGCCTTTTTTCTTCTCCATTTTCATTTCCGACTTTTCTATTCTATTCTCGACAGCTCACACCATTTGGCGACGGCATAGCGCTTATATGGTTCTGGATAACTCCATGGATTTCATCATTTGAGCTTTTCGGCTAAAGAGTTGATCACAGGTAAAACCCTGAACCTCAACCACAATGATGCAAATAATGTAGCGACGAAAATATGTAGCGCAATTGCGGCGCTTCACACAGTTCTAGGGAGCTCTGCACTTACAAAAATATGTGTAAAGTAATATTTTATTGCGCTTAAAGCGCTTTGAAAAAATTGCAACAAGTTCCATGCTATTACTTTATACTAGGCTTGTGCATATATATAATTGAACCTCGATTAGCCGAACCTTTATTTAGTAAACTCTTGTGAATCCAAGCTTGTGAAATACTTCTGTAGATTATTTAAAATTTGTTTCCCCAGTATGAAGAAGTAGTGGCAGTGGGAAATGGGAAAATTAAAAAATAACTTGTGCTGCATAGGAACTAGAAGAGTCTACAAAGGAAATTGAATAACTTTGGGTTTAGCAGTCACCGAAATCCTAAGCTAGAACGATAATGCTGTCCTAGAATATAATTACTTCATGTCTTCTATTATTGTTGTATACTTCAGACTATTATTAACTATTCGCAACAAATAGACACATTATTAGAAAGTATTGAACTGAGAAGAGCATGTTCGTTGTGTCGATGTCCTTCTAAATTATCAATTAAAATAAGGGCAAGCTGTTCTGTGCACATTTAATTGATTTATGGATTGTTTTTAGGAAATTCGACCCAGTAGTTGGGTAAACTCGCTGTCAACGTTTTTTTTTTTAAATAAATACAAAACAATTTACAGATAGTTGTTGGATATATCTCAACTTACTTATACTGAGAAAGTTTGAACAAATTTTGTAGCAGCAGCTGTTGAGATGAGCTTTTTTTTTTAAATAACTGTGGGGAGCAAATAATAAATGACTTGATTGACCATCGTTAACAAATAAGAAGTTCCATCTATCCTAATCCGAGGGTGTGTATATTAAAGAAATAGCTATGAACGACCTGTTGTGAGAAGCTCAAAGCACCCTTAAAGGAGAATGTGGAGTAAGGAGCAGTATGGTTTGGCAAGGCAATCAGGGAATAAACCATTTAAAAACGTATATAATTTTAAATATTATTCTAAAACTTACGAGTTTTAAACAATGTCATAATTATATAAAACTCATTTAGTTAACCTTATAATTCCAGAAAAGTGTATAGCCTTTATTTCTCTTAGTGTATGCAAACATTGCAGCTGCAACAACATTAACCCAATAGCGTTATTCCAATTGATTATCGTTGTTTTGTTGTTCTACAGCCTAGCAAATTAATTATGCACTTTGAATGTCCTTTCCCCTTCCACCCCTGCCGAATGGTTGCCAATTTGGTTTGTAGTACAAAATCATTAATGTTTTTCACAGCAGTAAGTGAGATTGTTTGCTGTGTGTTGTTGTCATGTTTCGAGCAAATCCCCCCCCCCCCCCATTCCTCTTTCCCCACCAGACATTCAGACACACAGGCATTTATTTTTGTTGTAACTGTAAACATTGCAATCGGAAATTCATGATAATGAAATGCATTTTGCATGTTTGTTTTTGTTTTAAACGAATTGCTCGTTTTTGTTGCCGCTTTGGCTGTGCAACAATTTTACAAATTGTTATTGACAATTTATGTCTGTTGTGGCTGAAAAATATTCCATTTTCATGCGCTATTTGTGCTGCAGCTGCCGCTGTTGTTTTTGCAATTGTTGCTTAAATTATGACAACACAGCGGATGTTATTTGAATATGCATTTAAAGCGCATGCAAATGAAAAACAATTCGAGCAAATGAAGCGTAATTTCATTTCACAGAGAGCATTGTATCAATTGCCATAATTAAAAGTATGATAAAGAAAGAGGATCAATTCAAAGCAATAACAAAAACAAGTTCATAGGAAATGGAAATCGAAACAGTTATAGTATACTCGTAAATCATTCAAAACAATAATTGCATTTTATTTCACCTTGTTGGCTTAGTTCAGGTGATGATACATTTTATAGATTTCATTTACTTATTTTTGCAAAGCAAATCGAACGCAACTACATTAAATTAGAAATAATTTGCAATTGAAATGCTTTTGCGATTGTAAGTTGAAATTGGAATATCTTTTCTAAAAGTTTGTTTATCTGTGTGTTTTCTGCTTTACTCAAAATTAATGGGGAATTAAAACTGATGAGTTAGTTTTGATTACAGAAGGCAATACTTGCGAAGTTGCTTTGAAAATGAATTAATTTATTAAATTATTTCATTGATAAACAAAGCTGTCATTGTAAAAGAAATCAATACAATAGATAACTTAAAACTAAAGAAAGCCTATAAAAATTACAAAAATATCTAATAAGGAATCGGACTCGGTGCGGGAATTTATTAGCCAAACGGCCAGCTATGCCCCGATTCACAACAGAGAGTAATCAGTAGACCTAACAAAAAAGAAATCGAGATGAAAATCTAGCCATAAAAGATAAAAAGAAGTATGGTTAGTTGACAAAAAAGAGCTGAATAATCAAAAGCAGAAATATCCAAATATACATATCCAGACACAAGCTTAGACTTAATACTTTTTAAACTAAAAAAACAACATGCTATATGTTGGAAAGCAAAGTGTGAGAATATTTTGGAAACCAGATAATTTGTACATGGTGCTTACCCCATTCTACAACTATTGTCTGCAGCCGTTCGCAATCCTTGGAAATTCCCTTTCATAACAGTCCACTTACATAAACAGCTCTCGCTATTCGAAATTGTTACGGCTTTAAGCTCTAGCATTGGTATCAGCTGCAACCTGACACAGCTTTGTCCCTATATAGAAGACCGGCCCCCATGCCAATAGCCCCACCCACACTTAGCTATAAATAGTCCCAGTAGCCAACACTTGCCCATTGGCAGTGGCCAGTCGATAAATAAGCTCAAATTTATCATGTATGTCGTCTGTACATGGGCATGGCACACACACACACAAACACACACATGCGTACACATGCATTTAAACGTAGTACATATATATAATGGGAATGTTGGCGATGGCGTCGGCATCGGCATCGACGCCAGCAGCAACCATAATTTTTGGCACAAAATTGTCGATAGGCGTTGAAGCGTTCAATTGAATGTCGTCTGTGTCGTTGGTGTTGCAGTAAACTACTGCTAGATCTTACGCCCAACAGAACTCACCCATCGAACTATTGTATAATCAAAACTAATGGTC